ATGGAACTGGAGAACATCATCTTAAGTAAAGTTAGCCATGCTCAGAAGCCAGCAAATGCATGTTCTGTCAAATTTGTGGAATATAGACCTAACACAAATGTAGCAATATTATGAAACACTGATGACATCAAGGGGAGGTCACACACAAGAGTAGGGAAACTAAGCAGTTGAATATGGTTGATATACTCTGTATAAAAGAATGAACTTAGGAATCTTAAACTGACTGAAACTACCATAAGAAAGGGACAAAAGTAGAATGAGGAAAATTAGAGGAGATGAACCAAGTGGAGTTATAATACATACATAACATGGAAATATCACAAGGAAACTCATTGTGTAGCTACCTTTATCTCAGGCTAAAATGTCATGTTTTTCATTTTATCTTTTTCATTTTTCTCCTACAAAATCAGAGAACAGGAAGGTGGAACAAGTCCTACTGGAGGGAAGGCTGACACCAGTGGGAGCAGGAGGTGTTGGGAGAAAGAGGGTAGGAAAGTGAATTTGGTGCAATAAAATGTGTACACATGTAAAAAAAATCATTTATGCCACTATGTATATACCACTTAATATAATATGTGCTTTAAAAAAATCTCCACACAAATAGAAATTTTATTTTTTCTAGCAAAATATTTATATTTAAATTTAAAATAGTAAGTATTGATAAATATATAAACCAATGTGAACAAATTGCTGAAGAAAGTTATATTGGAAAAGGTTATTCAGAAAACTGCAGGCAGTACCTTATTCAAATTTTAAAAACACATAGCATTTGGCAAATAAACCTCTCTACTAAGTATACATTTGCAAAAGATGAAAATGTATGTCCATAGAAAAGTTTTGAGCAAATTATTAAATCAACCTTATTTACAACCATTAAACACTACAACCAATACAATGTTCCTCAACTGTAGAAAGAAAAAACAGTTTACAACATCCACATAATAGAATACACTCTGCAAAAAGAAGGATTCTAATATCACGTAGATGTTACTAGGTTGGACCTCAAATGAATGACAGATGCCAGATTCAAAGACCACAAATTCTAGGATATGGTTAAAGACACTGTGGCAGAGGCAAAATTACTTATGAAAAGTTGGTTTATTAACAGGTCATATCTGAGGAGTTGGCACCAATGGGAGGAAGAGGATATAAGTAACAGGTATAGGAGTGTGAATGTGGTAGAAATATTATGTAGTCATGTATGAAAATGGAAATATGAGACCTGTTGAAACTATTCTAGGAATAAGGCCAGTGGGATAAAGGAGAATGATGGAGGGGGCAAATTCAAGGATGATATATTGTAAGAACTTTGGTTAATGTCACAATGTACCCCAGTACAATGATAATAAAATAATTAAAAATATAGAAAAAGAAAAAAGCAGATGTGGGATGACAGAGCTTGAGAGGTTGATTCTCCCTGTCCTCTTCGTCAGATAAAAAATAAACCTTATTTCTTTTTCCTGAAAGGAAAAAAATCAGTTTATTAATTCCTTAAGCAGTATATGAGAGAAGTTAACAAAGAAAATTCAGATGAATTTCTGTCACTGATTGTAGCAGCAGATATATGAGATTATTAGAATTCTGCATTTTAAAATGCTAGTATTACTATCTTTAAATTATGTATTACTTAGAATGATTTTTAAAAAATAAGAAATAACAAGTAATAGGAAAACACGTGTGCAGTCTAAAAATAACCAGCTTGATCTCCACAGACAGTTTAATTGCTTTTTCCCTGAGAAAATAGGGTGAGAGCAACAGGTGTTCTCATGGGGGAATCTCCACAGGTCTCCAAGCCTGCCTAACTCCCTCCAGATCCATGAATTAGCCTCCTGAATCCCAATACAACTCAGTGTCATCTTACTGTAGAAGGAGTTTACTGTGTTCCACACTCCACCGGACATCTACTCATTTGAATGGTGATCATTAGTAGTACACACAGGCCCTCTTCTGACCTAAGGATTTCTTTTGATCCTTCAACATGGTTATGAAAAACACTCAAAGATAAAAACGATATCAATAAGCTTTGATTGATAACTTCTTTGAGATCTTTTATGGATCTGTATTATTTGTTATTTTAGTTATAATCTGTAAATCATGTAAGAGGTGTAATCTTACCATGTTTATTATGCAAACAAGATGGTGGTAAGTGATTCTTCCATGATACAGAAAAAAATAAATAATGGTAGGTTTGGACATTGAAGCATGCTAATGTTCTTTCCTTAATTTTCCCTGCCTTAGATAATTTGGAATTTTTTTTAACTTGGAAGTTTTTACCACTACCTGAAAGAATTCCCACAGAAGTATGTACATATGGTAGTCTGTGGCCGATTTTAATATTTCAAACTCAGTAGTCTGGATTGACTGTCCTTTCTTCCAGGAGAATGGTAAGATTCTATATTCCATATACACTGCTAGTGAGACGTGTAATTCATCAAAAGCAGTGGGGTATAACTGTATACTTAACTGTGAGATATTTTAGAAGAGAAAAAAGATGATTTCAAACTTTTATTAAAGACTGGGGTAAGCCTGTTGTGTGAATGTCAAAACTTCCATTGTAGGGAAGTACTCTCATGATCACTTCTCCAAAATATGAAGAAAAAAACAGGACACTGTGTGATTAGCTGGAAATTTTATCTTTTTCTTATATATTTGCCTATCATGGGACAAAAGAGAAACAATTTAACAAACAAAACCAAACACACAAAAACCCAGAAGGGTGAAACAATCCTTCTTTAAACTACAAATGGCTGCTAAATGAATGAACGTGCTCTGATGTTTATTTTATACTTTTCTCTCACAATCTCATACTGACTATTAATATTATTACTTCTGTTATTATTGTTACCATTACAGCTACACTAGTTGACAGCAATGGTTAGGTTGGTCTGTCTTATACTAGCTGCATAACTTACAAGATTACACAAATTCTTAACCCTCAATTTCCACAATAATAAGATTATATAATATACACACAAACATTCACATAAAAAGCCAGTATTTAGTTATAGAACATAGTATTTGGTAAAAGTGGTCACATGTATTAAAGACTGGCCAACACCAGGTCTTCCTATGGCAGGCTCATAAGCCGAAATGCCAGAGTTTCAAGAGAAAGGTGGCATGGAATAGTTGTCAATTTGGCAAGACTTTCCTTTGAAAGGCTTCAATTCAAACAAAGAAATTTAGCAGAGGGCATTGACACATACCTGTAGTCCTGGCCATTTGGGAGGTAGAAAGATCATTTCAGCCTTAAAGTCCAAGGCCAACCTGAGCAAAATAGTGAAACCCAGTCTCAAAATAAAAGAAAAGACAAAAGCAATATAAAACACTGTTACTACATGACAACATATTCAAATAAAATATTTCACAAAATAGATGGTGCCAACAAACCAAACCTGTGAGCTAAGAAAAGCCTATAAACTCGGAACTTCCAGCATTGGCTCCTGTGATTTGCCTAAGGGATGACTATAATTCAAGGAAGAATAAGTTTAATAAAAATAGGCTCTTTGCCAAAATGAAAATATGAATTCCAAGGAAGAAATTTTGAGGAAGAATGACTCACATGGAATTACAGGAGCTCTAGTCAATGTTTGGAGAAACACTGGAAAGCACAACCTCCATGGCATTAGTGCAGGGGGAAAGGTAAATTGGAGAGAGAAGATTCCAGAACTCAAATTCACTTAGAATCAAGACCCTACAAGTCAGCATTCACCTTGATAAAATCATCATAAGATCATTATCCCATCCTAATAATAATATGATTGCTAGAACTCATTAGATTGTGCTCAAAACCCAGGATTTTATTGTTTTATACTCTGTTGTTTAATTCTCACAATAATAACTCATTGTAGGACTAATTCGTGTTTTCATATTGCAGTTGGAAATACGTTGTTCAGGGAAATTAGGTTAGGACCTGGGATTACTAGATGCTAATTGGTAGGTCTAATGTCCACCTTTTTTATGAACATAAGGTCTGTGTCTGCTACAGCTCACGATGTGCCTGCTCTCAGAATTGCATCTGCAGGTTGAACTTGCTCCCATCACCCAACTTATTCCATCACCTAAATATGCATAGAGATGTGCTATAAACCCTTCTTCACTCCAATCAACTGTTTATAATTTTAGCCACATCATTGTCAATGTGTGTAGATGTCCTGGTGGCAATAAGCATGAGTTTGTGGCAAAAAGAGTAAAATGTGATTCAGAGATTGCTAATTTTTTTAGGATCCTTTTGTAACTGAAAGGATCATTTGCTCTTCTGGTTTGGTATGTTTGTTGTTTTTTTTTTCTCCAATGAGATGAAAATATATAGTGAAAAAGAAGCATTACTATCCAACCAATCACTTACTTAGTTCCCTGGGAAAGCACAAACATTGAGTTTGAACCAGAGGAAACAAGAAATAATTATAAATTCAGCTAATTTCAACTTGATTTAAATTTAGTTTATACCTTAGTCTTAGTGACCACATATCATGAATTATATGTTGTTGTATGTCCAAACCAGGGTTTGCTAATTAAAATTTGAGCAATATGAGTAAATCACTCAACTTCTTGTTCTTCATAATTTACAGGAATGTAACAACCAGTCAATCTCATAACATTGTGGAGAAGAGACAGTAAGTGAACATCTAAGGTCTACAGCTATTCTTCACAGGTGAGAACCATGGAAATGTCAAGTTTACTGAGTGCAAGAGAAGTGAAGTAGAAAATAGATTGAATCCCACACATCATTTTTATCAAGTTATTAAATTGTCTCCTCAGATTATAAATCAAAAATTTTAATTGGGTAGTGACCCACTAATATTCTAATTCTACAGTATATAACCCTCTGTGTCATTATTGCACCAAATTTGGTTTTATAGACCATGCTTTTTCTGGAGAATTTCAAAGTACAAATAATTGCTCAATGAATTGCACTTACACTTCATAAGTCAAATTTATTTCCTTATCATTCTATCCCTTTGTCTTTCCTGGACACAGAGCATCTAGTGACTCTCCTAACAGTGATGGAGAACAGGACAGACATGACGCAGTTCATTCTTCTGGGACTGACCAATGACCCAGATCTGCAGGTCCCCCTCTTTATCACCTTCCTCCTCATCTACATCATCACCCTGGTTGGAAACCTGGGGATGATCCTGATGATTCTCTTGGACTCTCAGCTCCACACTCCCATGTACATTTTCCTTGGTAACCTGTCTCTGGTAGATTTTTGTTACTCTTCAGCCATCACTCCCATGGTCATGGCGGGACTCTTTAAGGGAGACAAAGTCATGTCCTACAATGATTGTGCTGCTCAGATGTTCTTTTTTGTAGCCTTTGCTACTGTAGAAAATTACCTTTTGGCCTCAATGGCCTATGACCACTATGCAGCAGTGTGCAAACCCCTACATTATGTGACCACCATGACAACAAGTGTGTGTTTATGCCTGGCCATAGGCTCCTATATCTGTGGTTTCCTGAATGCCTCCATCCACATTGGAGACACATTCAGTCTCTCCTTCTGTAAGTCCAATGTGGTCGATCACTTTTTCTGTGATGTTCCAGCAGTCATGGTTCTCTTTTGCTCTGACAGACATGTTAGTGAAATGGTTCTTGTTTATGTAGTGAGCTTTAATATCTTTTTTGCTCTTCTAGTTATCTGGATATCCTATATATTCATTTTTGTCACCATCCTAAAGATGCACTCAGGTGCTGGACATCGGAAAGCTATGTCCACCTGTGCTTCTCACTTCATTGCAGTCTCCATTTTCTATGGGACGATTATATTTATGTACTTACAGCCCAGCTCCAGCCATTCCATGGACACAGACAAAATTGCATCTGTGTTTTATACTATGATCATCCCAATGCTGAACCCTGTGGTTTACAGCCTCAGGAACAAGGAGGTCAAGAGTGCATTCACAAAAATTTTGATGGAAACAAAATAACCTTTCAGATTTTTATTTTAATAGAGTGGGAGACACAAAACATGATTTCATTCCTCTTAGATCTTTTACATGAACTGAGTTACATTTTAAGACCCATATAGAAACAGTATTCCTGAAATGCTACTGTGACTTTTGCACGTCTGTTGTATATAGCAAAAGGAAAACTGTATCCAGAATAATACGATCTGAATGAGAATGGCTAAGTTGTCTTTTGGCTGCTTGCCATAACATTTATGAAGGATACTGATGTGATGGTTTAATGGACACTACATTAGCCCCTCTCATACCAGAAAAATGCAGATGTTTTAAACAATAACTGTTTTCAGATACATATACTTGTGTGTTTGGCCTCAATGGACAATTCAGAAAGAGATATTCTGACATACTCTGAGCTTTGTGTGGTGATTTAATAACACTATGTGCATCTTGATTACAGTCCTTACTTACTATGTAAGTGCTGATGGGTAGAGCTTGCTTGTCTACTCACATAGTGAGTATGGGATCATGTATTGTCTTTGCAGCAACTGTACTAACAAAGTTCCAGAACAGAGTAGTGATTCAATGGGCTGTGGTTAAATGAGGAAATTATATCACCATGATTCAGGATATCCTTTGTATGTTAGAAATATAAAATTTTTATTTTTTAATTTTGAGTACATGTATATAATGTATTTACTTGTCAGTGATCATTAATTCAAAAGCTTGAGGGTAATAAAAGCTAAGGGCATTTTTTTGTTGCAGATACTGTGTTAGTGAAGTTCTATATGTGTTTAAATTTTACAGCTCTGTGAAGCATGCATTCTGGGCATTGTATGAACTGGGGTTCCAGAGAACATGACATTGGGACTCAAGAATGGCAATAATGTTCTGAAGGCTGTATCCATTTAAGTTTCTAATCAGTTAAAATTACCTGTACAAGGTTAATTACTAGATAAACTTGTAATACATTGAGTACAAATGGGCTACTGTGAATATCCTTATAAAGAGGTTATATTTATATCTATAACTGATGCATTTGAACATTTGTCTTCTAATTCTTTTAACTTAATTTCTTTCTCTTTTTTTCTCTCTCTCTCTCACATGCACACACCCACACAATCACACAATTCTACATCATTCTCTAAATGAGTTTTTGATTATTTTTTATTTTTTTAAATTTTACTTATTAGAATATGTTTTTCTATTTTTTAGCATTTTATGACTTCTTATTTTATCAATATGAAAGCACTGTCCACTTGAATATTTGTAGCAGCCATGGTAGTTGCACTGGTGGTAGAAGTTGGTGTCAACAGTACTTTATTTGAAATGGACTTTACACTAAATATGCTAATGATCTAATCTATTATATTCATGTTCTTGAATGGATAAAAATGTAATCATCACAATAACATAGATGAGGTAAATTATCCATAGAAAAGGTAATTCATTTGATCTACAGTTTCTGGAAGGAAGTTTAAGATTGTGAGTTTTGTGCCATTCTTCATATGGCCTAATCTCATTTAAGAAATAAAATAGTCCTAAAATCAGCACTGTACATTTCTTCAGCATGGTGGTTTTCTTCATTTGGATATACCTCCAGTACTAAGGTTACTGGATCACTTTCTAGCTCTACTTTTGAGTTTTTGAGGAACGCCATATCATTCTCCATGATGGCTATACTAACTTACATCCCCTCCAATAGCATGCAAAGTTCCCTTTTCTCCACCATACCACTGTCACCATGGCAGCACTTATGATCTTTTTGATAATTGCTATTCTTAATGTGGTGGAATAATATCTCACTGTGAGTTTTCTTGGAATTTTCCTGATGGTTGGTGATGCTGAATACTTTCATATACCTTTTTGTCATTTATACATCTTCTTTTTAGAGGTGTCTATTCAAATCTTTTCCATTTCTAATTGGATTTCCTTATCTTTTTCTTGAGTTGTTTGTATCCTTTGTATATTCTATATAATAACCACCCAGTCAAATTAAGTTTGTGAATATTTTCCCCCATCTGTAGTTTGTCTCTGTGTGGAATCAACATATGTGTCCATTAACAAATACACAGAAATGTGTGACATAGTCATATATTGCCTAATTGACAAGGTTTCATTCTAATAAATGAGTCACTATTGATTTTTCCTTTGTGTAATTATAAAGTGTACTTAATATAGAGCTTAAACCAACACTCGATTATGCCTCTCTGTGCTATCAAAGTATGCAGTAAGCATACCACTAAGCAACTACTGACATGTGGAGAACTATTTTACAATTATTCTTTGTAATTCAAAGGAGTAACTGAAATGATTAAAATATAGTACAGTAACTATATAATTCAGTAACAGTCATTTGTTATTACTACCAAGTATGATATGTTATAGATATTTATATGTTCTATACTTTCATATGGCTGAAAGCACAGTAGTTTTGCTTTTACCAATGGCATCACAAATACATGAGTAATATTTTGCATGACAATGTTGTGAAAGTTACTCATTCACAAGGTAATTAGAAATACTCACATCCATTATAATCTTATACATCTTGTATTCAACCCTGTTATTGGCTGAAATGCCATTATGTGAATCATGGCTGTGTATAAACAATAGAATACTATTCCTCCATAAAAATCCTGTCATTTTCAACAACATGAATGAACCTGGAAGACAGAATGTTAAAGGAAGAAAATCAGGCAAATATAGAAACACAAATACCACAGAATTTCACTCAATATGAAATTATAAATATGAACTCGTAGGAATTGCAAGTAGATAGTGTTTACCAGAGGCTGAGCAGGTTAAAGGGGAGGGAGATCTGGGGAAAGACTGGTTAAGGAGTGCAAAGTTAAAGAGAGATAGAAAAAACACATTTGGGGGTTTTTTTGTTTGTTTTTTATTAATTATTCATTTATTCATATGTGCATACATTGTTTGGGTCATATCTCTCCCTTGCTCCCCTTCCCCATCCTCTTCCCCCCTCCCCCCTCACTTCCAGGCAGAACCTGGACAAAGCATTTTTGCTAGTTGAGTTAAGGATAGCTATACAGAAATATTCCTAGCATTGCTTCCATGTACAAATGTGTTACAACCCAAGTTAATTCATTGCTAACTAAACTTTACACTGGTTACTGATCCCTTCTCATGTTAACCTCTGTCGCTTTAAGGTTTCTGTATTAGTTCCTCTGGAGTGGGGACATCAAATGCTTTCATGTTTTGGGTTTTCTACTTATTCCCATATCTCCCATATGTGCTCTTCCCTTGTCATGTGATCCAAGTCCTAGATCTAAAGTCCACATATGTGGGAGAACATATGATTTTTGGTCTTCTGAGCCTGGCTAACCTCGCTCAGAATGATGTTCTCCGGTTCCAATCATTTGCGTGCACATAATGAGATTTCATTCTTCTTCATGGCTTAGTAAAATTCCATTGTGTACAAGTACCACATTTTCTTGATCCATTCATCAATAGTGGTGCATCTTGGTTGTTTCCATAACTTGGCTATTGTGAATAGTGCTGCAATAAGCATGGGTGTGCAGGTGCCTCTGGAGTAACCTGTGTTGCATTCCTTTGGGTATATCCCCAGGAGTGGGATTGCTGGATCATATGGCAGGTCTATGTTTAGATTTTAAAGAAGCCTCCAAATTTATTTCCAGAGGTATTGCATGAGTTCGCATTCCCAACAGTAGTGTACCAGGGTTCCTTTTTCCCCACATGCTCACCAACACATGTTTTTGATGATGGCTATTCTAACAGGGGTGAGGTGGAATCTTAGTGTGGTTTTATTTGCATTTCCTTTATGGCTAGAGATGGTGAGAATTTTTTCATGTGTTTTTTGGCCATTTGAATTTCTTCTTTTGAGAAAGTACTGTTAAGTTCAGTTGCCCATTTCTTAATTGGTTCATTGATTTTAGGAGAGTTTATTTCTTAAGTTCCCTATATATTCTGGTTATCAGTCCCTTGTCTGATATATAGCTGGCAAATATTTTCTCCCTCTCTGTGGGTGGTCTCTTCAGTTTAGAGACCTTTTGTTGTGCGGAAGCTTTTTAATTTGATGAAGTCCCATTTGTCCATACTTTCTCTTTCCTGCTGGGCTGCTGGGATTCTATTGAGGAAGTCCTTGCCTATATCTATTAGTTCCAGAGTGCTTCCTGCTCCTTCCTGTAGTAAATTCAGAGCTTCAGGTCTGATATTAAGGTCATTGATCCATTTTGAGTTGATACTAGTACAAGGTGATAGACATGGATCTAGTTTCAGTGTCTTGCAAATGGGTAACCGCCTTCTCCCACAACATTTGTTGAAGAGCCTGTCTTTTCTCCATCATGTATTTTTGGCACCTTTGTCAAAAATGAGGTGGGTATGGTTGTGTTGATTCATATTTGGGTCCTCTATTCTGTTCCACTGGTCTTCATGTCTGTTTTTGTGCCAGTACCATGCTGTTTTTATTGCTATTGCTTTGTATTATAGTTTGAAGTCAGGTATTGTGATACCTCCAGCATTGCTCTTTTTACTGAGTATTGCCTTGGCTATTCGCGGTCTCTTGTGTTTCCAAATTAATGTTAGGGTAGATTTTTCAATCTCTGTGATGAAGTCATTGGAATTTTTTGATGGGAATTGCATTAAACATGTAGATTGCTTTGGTGATAGTATGCCATTTTTACTATGTTGATTCTACAATCCATGAGCACGGAGATCTTTCCATCTTCTGTAGTCTTCCTTGTCTCTTTTCTTCAGGGAGTTTGTAATTCTCCTTGTAGAGGTCATTCACATCCTTTGTTTGAATTTACTCCTAAGATATTTGATTATTTTTTAGGCTATTGTAATGGAAATTGTTTCCATATATTCTTTCTCAGTTTGTTTGTTTTTTGGTGTATAGAAAAGCTTTAA